CTTTGTTCTTTTTCTTCAATAATGCTTTGCTTATCCGGGGCCTCTTTCCTTTCCATGTAAAGTTGGTGATTAGTTTTTTCATCTCGTTAAAGAATATTGTTGGTATTTGGATTGGGATTGCATTATATCTGTAGATCACTTTGGGTAGAATTTTCATTTTCACAATGTTGAGTCTTCCTATCCGTGAGCATGGTATATTTTTCCATTTATGTAGGTCTCTACATAAACAGTGTTTTGTAATTTTCTTTGTATAGGTCTTTTATGTCCTAGTTAGATTTATTCCTAAGTATTTTATCTTTTTAGGGGCTATTATAAATGATACTGTTTTCCTGATTTCCTTTTCAATGTTCTCTTTGTTGGTGTATAGGAATCCAACTGATTTATTTGTGTTGATATTGTATCCTGCTGCTCTGCTCAATCTTTCTATTAGTTCCAGTAGTTTTCTTGTAGAATCTTTGGGGTTCTCTATGTATAGGATCGTATCATCTGCAAATAGGGAGACTTTCATATTTGTTGTATTACTATAGTATGCATACAGAATGGCTTTTACAATCTCAGATGTCTCTAGTTGTTGAATTGCCCATGTAATTCTATTACTATTGTTTATGCTATAATGGATTCAGTAATCAAATTAAAATATAACATTTATTCTGCCTGGAGTTTATACTAAAATAGAAATAATTTATTCATGAGATTCTTGTTTAAATCATCTTTCTCCATTTTTTAGTAAAATACCATCCTTAAGATGATAATTTATTCAATTTGAGCAAATGTACAGTCCTGTAAGTAAGAGCCATTTTTTAAATTAAAAATGAAAGTTTTTAAAATTAAAAATGAAATTCAAAATTACATTTAAAAAGAAACAAAATAATTGATTTGTTATGGTTTTGGTTGTTCATTAGTAGATTTATTTGAAGGCTGAATCTACCTTGAGTATTTCTACTTTCAGAATATGGGGTCATGGGGGAAAAAATCCAGCCCATAGGAGAGGAAAATAAAGGAATTCTGCATTTTTAATGAAGAGGGTGATAGGCTAGGCTGAGTCCTTAATAAGTGGTGATCTTTCAGGGATCCATTAGTACTTTCTGAGTAGGGATGGAGAAGAATTTCCTTTTCCCATGAACTGTCCCATGGCAGCAAGTGTATCTAGATGGAAGGAAGGAATGGAGGGAGATAGACTGGTAGGACTTACCATGGTTTGAAGATCACCACAACAAAGAACTTGTATGTCCCTGTTACTGCCAGGTGCTCCATTTCCAAGGAAAGAAGGGAGGGAAGGGGGAGAGAAGGGAGAAGGAAGGAAGGAACAAACGAAGGAACAAAGGAAGGAAGGAGTTAGTGTTATGTATTGAACTGTGTCTCCCCAAAATATGTGTTGTAAATTCTAACCTCTATGCCTATGGTTATAATCCCATTTGGGAATGGGTTGTCTTTGTTACGTTAATGAGTTAGGATGAGTGTAGGGTATGTTTTGAGTCAATCTCTTCTGAGATATCAAAGAGATTAAACAAGCAAGCTAGGAGGAGAGACGGGGTAAGATAGATGCCAAGACACATCGAGATCTCCAAGGAACCAGGAAGCAGAAGCTGAAGAGACAATTCCTTCAGAGCTGATAGAGAAAGCATTCGCTTAGAACTGGCTCCCTGAATTTGGACTTCTAGCCTCATAAACTGTTGGAGAATAAACTGCTGTTTGTAAAAGCCATCCACTTGTGGTATTTCTTTTACAGTAACTAGTAACTAAGACAGTTAGTTTGAAGTTTTGTGAAAGTTATATATACAAGAGTTAACTAGTTCTACAAGGTTTATAAATAAAAACATTAGTCGGCAGCCTCCCGTTCAGCCATTTCCCCTTTCCTACAGAAAATCAACTCAACTCTTTTAAATGTTAGTGTCTCAAAGCCCACCTGAGTTACCCCATTTCCCTGGCCTCCACTATTTTATTTTCCTTCTTTCAAGAAGATTGAATTTTGATTATGAGGGACTTGATATTTACACAATTTGGTGGACCTTTTTTAAAAAAAAAATGTAACATTTCAAATATAAAATTAGATAGAGACTTGGAAAGGTCGCTGAAGCTTAAGCTTTTAACTTCATGATAACTCTGGCTCTGTCCTTCAAGACACAATCCACAAGATCCATTGTATTAAATTATCCCACTGCCACCTCTAAGCTATTTCCCAATCCACATACCATGTCTGGAACACCAAGATCTCTCAATAATTTTTTTTTCAAGTAGCTCCCAAAATCCTACCTCTTCAATAAACTCTTTTCTATCAGACTGTAAAAATAGTAATATTTCTCTAATTCCACTGTCTCTAAAAATTTAATTCCATGTTTTCCTTCACTTATCACTATAATGCATACTTATCTCATTTGTTTTTAAGGCATTTTTAAAAATCACATGTAGTCATTAGCCTGTGATGCACAATTAGGTATGAAGCTGGTTTTGCGTGTTAAAGGAAAGTAATTATTGGCTAAATCAGTAAATTTGAGGCAAGAAAGCATTTTTTATATGCTAAAAGCTTCAGGGAAAAATACTACTTCTAATATTTGACTTAATATGGCTGTTTTGCTAGAGAAAAATGACAAGATGTAAAATATTAAAGACAACCAGATGGTTGGTATTAAAGCCACCAAAAACAAAACCAAGCAGGATAAACTCACAGACACAAAATGTAACTCAAAGTGCTGGTAGAGCTGAAGCTGTTTTTATCTAGCATTCTGAATCTATTTGAAAATGATGATACCAGAGCTCCAAAAAGGCCATCTTATACATCAAACTGTCATTTAAAAATGTGGCTCTTTCCTGCAGTGTCATGTTACTACTGCACTGAAATTTTTGGCGTTTTAGTAATACTGGAGGTAGTAATTAGAAGGTGTATCATTTCTGGCCAGCCATAATGGATACAAGCATAGCATATTAAAAGGTTAATTACCATGCCACAAACACTACAGCAATTAGCTTTTAGAGCACGGAGCCACAAGAATGTACTTCAACTGAGACTTAGTTTTTAAATGAAGGCTATCCTTCATGCTATGTTCACAGACTCCCCTAAATTAAGTCATTGCATGATCAACTTCATGAATGTCACTTTGAGGGACTGGAGCCCTGGGTAAAGCTTCCAAGGACTAGGCAAAGAAGAGTTTAAGAGAGGATTTCAGCAGGAAAAGGGCCTATGCAGCTGTTGTGACCGCTTTCCTCACAAGTTGCTCTCTTTTCATCTGTTCTGTTCTATGCCTCAGCTTAGCCTAGCCTCCTCCAGCTGGGGCTACCCTACTGCTCTTTGCTCCTCGAATCCCTGATGCCTCACCGTCAGGTCAGCTGTCACAAGTAGGCCTGCCCCCAGTATGTGTGCAAGACCCAGGCACCAGCACAAAGGAGAGCACTATTATTGTTGTTGTTGGGTGCCATCAAGTTGATTCCGACTCATAGAGACCCTACAGGACAGAGGAGAACTGCCCCAGGGGGGTTTCTAGGCTATAATCTTTATGAGAGAAGATTGCTAGGTCTTTTCTCCTGTGAAGCCGCTGGTGGATTTGAATCGCTAACCTTTCTGTTAACAGCCGAGTGCTTAACCATTGCATCACCAGGGCCCCTTGGAAAGTACTATATGTCTAAATAGCTAAAAGTCATAAATCAAGGTAACAAACTGCTAAATAAAGTATGTTCTCTTCTCCCATCGCGAAAGCCAAGAAAATTGAAAACATATGTTCCACAAAATTTGTACATGAATGTTCATAGCAGCATTGTCCATGATAGCCAAAAAGTGTTAGCCAAATGTCCAACAACTGATGAATGGATAAACAAATGTGGTATATCCATAAGATGGAATATTATTCAGGCATAAAAAGGAATGCTATGACATAGATAAACCTTGAAAACATGCTAAATAGAAGAAGCCTGGCACGAAAGGCTACATAGTGTATGATTTCATTTAAATATCCTTTATTGCTGGAGTCTTCAAAGCATGACCTCACTGCATCTACTATCCGTTCTGTTTGAACGTCCTCCCTTCTCTCTCTCCTTCTTCCCCTGTCATCCCCCTCACTTGTAATCTTTTAGTATTCAAATCAAGTATTGCCTCTTCTGGTAAGCCCTACCTTGAATCTTCCCAAAGCCCATAACACTCCCATCCGGCAACAAACTAAGTTATATGCCACTTCCCTGTCCCCCACCCCCCTCCCCTGCCCCCATGTTTTAACAGCACTTACCGAAAGGTCAGCAGTTGGAACCCACCAGCCCCTCTGCGGAAGAAAGACGTGGCAGTCTGCTTCCGTAGAGATTCCAAAAACCCGAAACAAACCCACTGCTGTGGAGTCAATTCCGACTCATAGCGACTCTATAGGACAGGGTAGAACTGCCCCTTGGGGTTTCCAAGGCTGTACTCTTTACAGAAGCAGACTGCCACATCTTTCTCCTGCTGACTGGATTTTGGGTTGGAATCATCCACCTTTCGGTTAGCAGCCCAGCGCTTAAGTATTGTGACACCTAGGCTCCTGTAAGTTAGTGATCAGATCCCCAAGTTAATAAAAGGGTTTTTGAGGACAGTTACCCAGGAAGGTAAGTCTACCTCTGCTTTCCAACACAGACTACTTGGGCAAGTGACTATACAGAGCAAATCGGCCCTGTTTAAGAACTCCCAGCTCCTGAAAACCGAAATGAAATGGGCTCTTTTATAGGAGGCTTTATTTTGAGGACCACCAAGAACTTCTAAAATTCTTACTAGGCTAACCCCCTCCGGACCCAGAGGGCGAGATAGGATACAACCTTGTGCTTCAGGAACCGTAACAAACAGCAAAGGTGGAGGGGAACTCCCGGTCGCGTAGACTGACCTCCAGCACTCCCGACACCATTCACACAGGTCCTGCCGCGCAGCGGAGGCGGGGCCTGGGTGGAGGGCACGTTCCGGCGCCGCCGCGAGCCGGGACCTGCCCGTCCGACCTGGCGGCGCAGTCTCGCGGGATCGCTCAGCTCTGGCGACCCGAGTGGCTCCGGCGGCGGCTCGTGTCCCGGACACTCCCCGAAACCGTCTGAGGCCGCCGGGTACGATAGGCTGGACGGGGGCGGGGAAGGAGAGCGGCCTTCGACTGCCGCCCGAGGTGAGGCTCCTCCGGTCCCTACTGGACCGGTGGCGGCAGTCGGGCGGGTGTGGGGCGGCCCGGGCCCCTAGTGGTGCGGGTGAGCTGGGGCCGCGACCAGGGTAGGGAGGAAGGCCCGGGCCCGGGGGGCTGCGGGCCGGCTGGGAGCTCCGTCCGAGCTGGGGTGGCGGCGCAAGAGGAGCCACAGGTGCCAGAGAGGCGGCGGCAGGACAGTCGGCACTCGCCGAAGTTTCCTCCGAAGTTGGAGCCAGCTCCTGAAAGGCGATGCTGGATCCCTGACTGCGGCAGGGACGCAGCTTTGGGCCCGGGACAGGTGCCCAGGTGTGGGGCGGCCTACCCTCCCCAGCGCTGAAAGACTAGGACCAGGTGCGTGTGTGTGTGTGCGGGGTGGGGGTGGGGGGGTAGTATTCGTAATTTGGGCCCACGGCCTTCCTACCCCAGAGGAACCGCGTCACCCTCCCAGGACAGATTTGCTCATTTTCCCTTTCTGCGGGATCACTACACTGGAGCTCATGAAAACTACCATTTCGCTTCTCCGCAGAAGAAATCCTGGAAGTCTCCCTCTAATTGTCCTTTTGAAAAACAGGAAAAGTATATCCCCAGAAGACTGCCACCAAAACTGGCTTTTTAGAGCCTTTAAATAGTCTCTAAGAATTCCTCAGGGCTTAAGACATTTTCCTGGGCCTCGGTTTTCTCAGGCTTAATATGATTTCCAATAGAGGCCCTTAGATTTTGATTCTGTTCATCCTTTTTTCACGTATTCCTAATCCCCAGTATTCCTTTTTCTTTCTTTCACTCATCTTATGCCCCCTGTTTACACTGTGATCCTCACAGCATAGAACAAATCTCCCTAGAGATAGTACTTTCTCAGCAAGTGCTGTATTTTATGCCAAAGCAGGTGGAAGAGTATCTCGGTAGGATGGAATTTTCCATCGTTTTTCCAGTGCTAGTTACCTAGGGTGAAAATCTTAGCTGCTCTTTTATGTCCATATTTGAGTTTTTGACAAATGTTACTGATACACCCTCTTGGTTGTTTTTACAGTAATTGACCCAGAACTAAATTTCAGGAAAACAGCTTCTTTCAAAATGATGAAATGAGGAATCTGAACATTTTGTATTTGGATGGCAGTCTTCTGAGAACATAAAGATTAATCCGAGAACATAAAGATTAATCCAAGCCATGTGGTAAAATCAGGAATTTGAAGAAAATGGAGATGTTTACATTTTTGTTGTCGTGTATTTTTCTGCCCCTCACAAGAGGGCACAGTCTCTTCACCTGTGAACCAATTACTGTTCCCAGGTGTATGAAAATGGCCTACAATATGACATTTTTCCCTAATCTGATGGGTCATTATGACCAGGGTACTGCTGCTAAGGTAATGGAGGTGAGTAATTCTTCAGACCTTTATAGAAAAATAATTTATGTTCAGTTCTGGAATAAACTATAGATGTGACTTTTTTAACATAGTGAGAAACTTCTTTAAGTTGTGTATAAGTCATATTTTGAATAAACCCTTTTGAAAATGAAATTCTCTACTAACGTACATTTGGTGTACATTTGAGACCTCCATTTAGTTAAAGCTCATTTTATAAAGCGTAGTTATGAATGATTTTTAAAGTATCTTGCTCCTGGCAAATATTTTTGTTTTGTTGAATTTATTATGGTTGTTCCTCCAAAAAAATGCAAATTCTGATTTTTTCTAAATTCATTGAACGTACAATTTATCTTGCCTTGACTAAAAGTGAAGAAATTTACGTATTTTCTTATAAGTAGTTGTAATGTTCACTTGGCTTTTCTGAAGCAAATTACTGGGAGATTTGGGGGCTATACGGAGTCTCTTATAGGGCTTCAAACCCGTTCGTTCCAGTTCAAACCCTGCTGAGAAATTGCATTTCCACCTCAGATATACTGAATCAGAATCTACATTTAGCAGGATCCCCAGGTGATTCTTAAACAAAACTAAACCTGTTGCCATTGAGTCAGTTCCAACTCATAGCGACTCTATAGGACAGAGTAGAACTGCCCCAACAGAGTTTCCAAAGAGTGCCTGGTAGATTTGAATTGCTGACCTTTTGGTTAGCAACGTAGCTCTTAACCACTAGGCCACCAGGGTTTCCAGGTGATTCTTATGTATAATAAATTTTGAGAACCACGGCTCTACCAGTGATTCTCAGAATGGGTCCCTAACCAGCAGCATTAGCATCGCCTGGGAATTTGTTAGAAATGCAAATTTTCAGCAGGGGTTCGAACCAGAACCAACTGGTTCAAAGCCCTGTCTCTTGTGAAAAGTGACTTTGGTTTTTAAGCATAGTACTTGAGTATTCTTTCTAAGATACTTGTTAAACTGTATCTCAGGGGAGGAGCAAGTAACACTATAGATTGCCTTAGGTACCTCAGTTACCTGCTCTGGTTTAGAGATATGCAGATGTTAGGGAAGTGTGGGAAGAAAGAGCTACTTGTAGAGACAGGAACCTGCCCTCCCCTGCAGATCTGTAAGGCTGAGAAGTCCAGTAAAAGGCAGGAGGTAAATGTGTTGTTTTTGTAGTTTTCTTCAGAAAAACTGCTCAAGGGTGGTAACGGCTTTTTTCCCCTCGGGTAGTTTATAAGAGGTGAAATGCCTAAAATTCTAATAAAAACACCACTTAAAAAACTGACTAGATTTGGTTTGCAGCATTGTAAGTCTTTCATTGTTTTTCATTTGAATAGTTGTCTGACTACTACACCGTGGGCTCTTGTCTATAATAGGAGGGCTTTTAAAGACTAAGTAGGCCTTTTAGAGGATATCACGGATTATATCATTGTAATCTTTTGGTATAAGGAGTCCTGGTGGTGCAGTGGTTCAGTACTCGGCTACTAATCAAAAGGTCAGGGTTCGAACCCACCAGCCGCTCCTCGGGAGAAAGATGTAGCAGCCTGCTGCCGTAAAGATTACAGCTTAGGAAACCCTATGGGGTAGTTCTGCTCTGTCCTGTAGGGTCAGTATGAGTTGGAGTCAACAGCACACAACACCAAATCTTTTGGTGGCTTTTCAAACCAGTGCAGGATGTCATTTTGAACAGTGAACATATGTTGTGGTAAGACTTTACTTATTATTCAGAACCATGTTGATGTTTGAGTCTGATCAAAGTATGTAGTTGGAATACCTTCAAGAAATAATTATCCATTCACACTTTCTCTCATGTGAATACATGTTCTATAATTCATGTCTTACAGTATTCTTTAAAATGTGTTTTTTTTTAAAAAAAAAAATCTGGTTTTCTTTTTGAGTAGTAGCTACATACAATTTCAATTTGAATGTTAACACTGATCTTATAAATTCAGATCATTTAGACTGAGTTCCTTATCATAGAATACCATTATAAAGGTAGGAGAGAGAGACATCTCTGCTATTAAATGCCTGTAATTGTAGGATGGTTAGAACTAGTTTTTATTTCACACATGTCTTCTAAAAACCAATTGTTCTGACTAAAAATATATATATGTATGTATGTTTAAGATACACATACCAGAAAATCCACTGCCATCGATTCCGACTCATAGTGACCCTATAGGACAGAGTAGAAGTGCCCCATAGGGTTTCCAAGGAGTGGATGGTGGATTTGAACTGCCAACCTTTTGGTTAGCAGTTGAGCTCTTAACCACTGTGCAACCAGGGCTCTAGATACACATATACATGCACATATATATTTATATATTTTTAAGATAAACACACACACACACATATATATATATTTTTTTTTAAGTCACTTAACTTCTTTCCCGGGTGGTTTTATGTCTGGAAATTATCCAGAAGCATTTATTCTTACCTCCTTTATCTGACTGCTAACATTACTATTCTCTTTGTATAATCTTACTCATACTAAGCATTCTCATAGCCTTTACTGCTTAGAAGTTTTATTCTATAAATATATCATACTTCAGTAGGGTTAGGGATACAAAAGAAGAAAAGTCATCAAGCAGTTGTTTAATACCAGCATTAACCTAAATATACAAAATGAGAAAAGGACAGACAGGAAAATGGAAAGGCAAAATAATACCAACTTAGGCCAGACTTTTAATCCCTATATATATAATTTTTTTGATTTGTAGTATTGTACTCTCCCTGTTGCTCCATCCCTATTTGTCCTTAGCCAGCAGCATTTTTTTTTTTTTTTAGTTCCTGTATTAAATGTCCAAAATCTTCTAATTCGAAAATTGGAAGTGACCCTAAAGATCATTCAGGGCTTCTTAACCTCTTTTGTGCCATTGAGTCATTCTCAAAATAATATTTTTAAATTTAATGTTTAAAATTAAATAAATGCATAGGATTACAAAGGATTTACATAGGATTATATAAAAAAGCATAGGATTATAATTGGCTGATTATATTGAAATACACTTCTATTTATGGCTCAGATTAAGAACTCCTGAACATCTCACTTATATAGATGAAGAAACTGAGTTCCAGGGAAGTTACGATTTGCTCAAGATCTGAGCACTATCATCTGAACACAGTCTTCTCTCTCAACATGGGCCATAAGGTCATCTCTGTTTTTTTTTTTTTTTTTGACCCCTGACTTTATTGGATAAGCAGGGAAATGTTTCCTAAGGTTCAGAATGTGTTCATTTCAGTCTTTGCTACTTCTGTGCAAATGTCATCTAGATAAAAATTGAAGTGGGTGACTTTCCCCCCGTCTATTAAGCTCTTCTACTTTTTTCCACTCTAATATGTGCCTTGGGTACAAAATCTGGTCAGAATTTTTAGATCAAAAATAAAATCTTTACCAATCTCTGTGCCTGGCGTCTCTCCCCTCTTCTGGTGCCAAAATGATTTTATTATAATGTGAACCTTCACAGTCTACTTTAGGGTTAGACTTCTTCACCAGTTTCCTAAAGCTTGAAAAATAAAGACTCCAGCGTGGACCCAAGGTTCTTGTGGGATCCTGCCTGCCTGGCCAGCCTCCCACCTTGCCCCTTCCTACATTGCACACTCTGCTTCAGCCATACTGATCTACTTATAGAATGCAAATCCATATCACTCTCTCTCACCTCCATACCTTTGCACAGTTAGACCGTCTGCCTGGTGTGCCCTCTGACTACCCTTCTTCATCTGTTCCATTCCTTCAATTCTCAGGTAAAGCAATCTTTGTGCTTCATGAAGCCTTCTTTCACCTTTCTCCCAAGCATATTTAATCGACTCACTCCTGTATACTCTTATACCCATATACCCATTTGCATCAAGTAGATGCTTACTCATGGCGACCCCGTATGTTACAGAGTAGAACTGCTCCATAGGGTTTTCTTGGCTGTAATCTTTACAGAAGCAGATTGCCAGGCCTTTCTTTTGCAGTGCTGCTGGGTGGATTAGAACCGCCAACCTTTCAGTTAATAGTCACCTTTTGTGCTACCCAGAGATGCATATACTTTTATAGTACTTAGTATATATGACTGTTCTTATCAGGCTTTATTGCAGTTATTCACATGTCTCACTAGTTTGTGAGCTTGGTGAAGGCAGGCATAGTGTTCATTTGTCTCTAACCCTAATGCCTAGTATAGTACCTTTGAGCATTGCAAATGTTTAATAAAGACTGAATAAAGAAAAAAGGTGGTAGTTCCTGTCCTAACAAATCAGCAAGGAAATTTTGCCCCCCAAATCCTTACCTTCATACATTCTAATATTTTTAGGTAGTTTATATAACATATTTTTTGGTTCTGCTCAAGCCTGGTTCTAATGAGATATATCAGTTGACAACCTTCATCCTCTTTCCCATATTAGCTCTATGCATGTGTGTCAGAATTTATTTAAAGAATTTTATTTTTAAACATTTATATTTAAATGGAATTATATAGAAATTAGGACCATATGGGATAATAAACTATATATATCAGATTTTTTTCAAACATTGTACTTCACTACTTAAGTTTATAGTCCATATAATTTGACTTTTACTAAAAATGTGTTTTACAGATTCTCTAAAGAACAGATTGGGTTTTATACCTCCAGACCAACTGCATTTGGATCCTGCTGGACCCAAACTGAATTTCCACTGTTCACTGTGAATTGGTGTTAGGATGAGGGGCTGAAGAATTACCTGTTGATAACAGCAACCAGTTGTCGTTTTAGGAATTCAGTATAAGTCAAGAGATCTGTCTTACTCCTCTTTATGCCTCAGTTTTCGTTTTATGTGAATGCTAGTCTATTTTATACAGTTTAGGCATTTGTGGTCGTTATTTATCTGTGATTGTATGAAATGGTTTAGAGAGTGGTTCTCAAAGTTTAGTTCATAGACCAGTGAGCTTATTAGAAATGCAAGCTCATGGAACCCACCCCAACCTACTACAACTTTTCTGGAGAGAAGACCCAGGAAACTATGGTTTATCAAGCTATCCAGTTGTTTCTTATGA